CAGGCCCTAATCCCACAGTTGGTGTGATCTGATCAATTGCTTAGCATATAGTAAGTGTTCAATAAATGGCTACCACCTGGGCTGAGGCCCAAGAAGGGGACCACCTTCCTGCCGCCTGGCTGCCCGCCCAGCCAGGAAACCTCCGAGGCACGCCCCCTCCCCGACGTGGGCCACAGCTGAGTGCTCAGTGCTGTGACTGGTGATTTCCTGCCTGGAGCAGCGTCTCCCCTGAGAAGGCCTTTTGTTCAAGCTCCCTTGACGCTCCCTGCTGGCCCAGCCCGCAAGGCCAGGCTCCCCCTGTGGCTTCTGTGACCTGAGGCCTGAAATTCTCTGGAGTGGGTGCTCCTCTCTGCTAACAATAATAGTAATAAAATAGCAACAGCCCCTTGTTTGTTGAGCCCAGGGTCCAGCACCCCACAGACCTCCGTCCTCAGAATGCTCCTAGTGAATGCCAAGAGCTGAACACTGGCCCATTTTACAGAGGGGCACACAGGCTCAGAGAGACAAGTCCCCTCTTCTGCACCACAGAGTGAAGAAGTGGCAGAGGCAGGATGCGATCCCAGGTTTGGTTGGTAGCTCAGACTCAAGAGCTCATCTGGGTGGTGGGGAGATCCCAGTGGGTTTCTCAGAGCCTCACAGCCCTTCTGTTTGTCCATGTCGGTCGGGAGCATAACTCCAAGAGCATGACTATCACCCGCAGCCGGCCTCAAACCCAGCAGTTCATTAATTCATACAGGTAATATTTCTGACCAGGCCTTGGGGGTGAGCAGGAGTGAGATGGCCTCTTGGCCTTCCAGGGGCAAACAGCCCTGGTTGAGGGCACAGGGCAGTGAGCAGTTCTAATCCCAGCTCTACGCCTCACTGGCCGTGGGGCTGTGGGCAGGCTATTCTTCCCATGCCCTGGCTTTTTTACCTATAAAATGGACATATTGATAAGACTCCTCTCTACCCTCCAGTGGAGATTAAACTAGTGAATATATATGCAAAGTGTTTAGCACAGAGCAGGGCATATAGAAAGCCAGAAATAGTGTCATTTATTAGTTTTGTTTTTAAAATTGTATTTCTAAAATTGAGATATGGTTGGGACGCCTGGGTGGCTCAGTTGATTAAGCATTTGCCTTCAGCTCAGGCCATGATCTCAGGGTCCTGGGATCGAACCCCGCATCGGGCTCCCTGCTTGGCGGAGAGGCTGTTTCTCCCTCTTCCTCTGCCTGCCACTCCCCCTGCTTGTGCTGAAGCTTAAGCAATAAAATAAAATTGAGATATGATGGACATACCTTAGTTTCAGGTATACAGCATAAAAACTAGACCTCCTGTGATCATTTTACAATGTATAAAAATGTGGAATCATTGTTTTTAAACTTGTACCCTGTGGCTGTTTTCCTGACCACCTGGTGCGTTAGGGACCTGGACAGAGGGGCTAATGCCTCCTGACTCCCATAGGATCTGAATGAGAAGTTTATGTCCCTCCTCTGGATCTCACTCCTTTGTTCATTATACATGAGGAAAGTGAATCTTCCTCATGGTGTGCATTCAGGCACTGATCAGGCATTTTGGGGGTGGCTTCTGTGGGGGTTTCTATTGCCAGCAATGGGACCTCCCCGTACTTCAGTTTTTCCATCTGTAAAATGGGAGCAATTATAGGCCCAACTTCCTAGGGCTGTCATGAAGCCTGGGAGAGTTAATGCTTTGCAAAAGCAGTTCGAAGAACGCCTGATGTCTAGCAAGTGCTTGGTACATGCTGTTCTTCTGATGGGGGAACTGGAGTAGGAGGTGTGGTGAGGAGGGCTGCCAGCCATCACCTGGGCAGTGGGGAAGCACAGAGCCGGCGCACTGTTCTAGGAAGCCTCCTGCCAAGGTTGGGTCCTGCACTTGGGCATCGGGACTCCGGGGTGCCCATGAGGTGCGTTGGCCCAGTGAGAAGTGGTTGTAGGTGGGTGCTGGCCACCATGCGTCGTCTGCCAGAGGAGCCAGAGGGTGCAGATGCAGCTGACCTCCTGCATCCATCCATCCATTCATTCATTCAGTGGGCATTTATTGAACTCTTGCTGCGTGCTAGGAACTGGGGCTGGTGCAGGGAGCAGACTGTGAAGCTCACAGTCTGGTGGGAGATAGCCACTACTTTAAAAATCACAGCTGGGCTCCTGGGTGGCTCAGTCGTTAAGCGTCTGCCTTCGGCTCAGGTCGTGACCCCAGGGTCCTGGGATCAAGCGCCGCATCGGGCTCCCTGCTCGGCGGGAAGCCTGCTTCTCCCTCTCCCACTCCCCCTGCTTGTGTTCCCTCTCTCGCTGTGTCTCTCTCTGACAAATAAATAAATAAAATCTTTAAAAATAAAAAAAATAAAAATCACAGCTATTTTTTAAAAAAGATTTATTTATTTTAGAGAGAGGGAGTGAGCGCATATGGGGGGAGGGGCAGAGGGAGAGAATCTCAAGCAGACTCGATGGGGGGGGGGGGGCTCGATCTCACAACCCCGAGATCATGATCTGAGCTGAAATCAAGAGTCGGACGCTTAACTGACTGAGCCAGCCAGGCTTCCCTAAGTAATCCTAGCTATTGAACGTTAACTGTGACCAGTGTGCTGAAGGACAAGTTCAGTACTTGACTCGGTTGGTGGGCTCATGGAAGGCTTCTCGTGTGTGAAGTTGGAAGCCGACCGAGAGCGGGCAGGGCAGAGGGAACACCGAAGGCAAGGCCCAGAGGCTGCAGCTAGCACGAGTGGCGGCAGATCACACAGGGTCTCACAGGTGGGCAGGAGCTTGGGTCAGGAATCCGAGAGCTTTCTGGGCCCCCTAACCTGTGAGAACAGTGCTTGCCTCACCTGTGTGGAGGTGGGGGTGTGGCGTGGCCATGGGGTTAACTAAGGACAAATCACACACACATGCAGATAACACCCCCCACACACGCACGCACGCACCTTCACAGGTGCAGGGTGGTTTTCTTGGCCGAGGGCGGTGATCAAGGGCACATGTGGCTCCTCTCCCTTCCTTTCTGCCTGGCAGCTTTTATTGACTACTGTGTGCCAAGCGCTTACTGTGACTAGGTTTCCACCTTCCTCGCTGACGCAGACACTTACTCTGCACTGTCTGGGGTGTCCTGCAGTCACTGCAGGGTCGCCACCATGGCCTGGAGAGGGTACTGTCCTTGCAGCTGCCCTACAGGTCTGCCCCGCCCTGACCCTGCACAGGGTCACACAAATAGAAGGTGCCTGGGCAGTGGTGTGTGGGAGAAAGAACCTCAGTTTCCAGGTCCAGGTCTCCACCCTGAGTGCCTCTCAGGGACTCCTTGTAACCGTTTAATGAGCTGGATATGATGGTGCTCCGCATTTGACAGATAAGGAAACTGGGGTTTAGAGATGTCCAGTCAGGTGTCAGAGGTCACACAGCCTCTACATACGTGAATAGTGTAGCCCCAGGAGGGATTTGTGTCTGGTTCACTGCTGTATCCCCCAGGGCCTAGCACAGTGCCTGGCACAGAGTAGGCCCTCAGTAATAGTTTTTTATTGGGGTGCATGGTGGTGGAATGAGCAGCGATCATTACGGGGCCCCAAAAGGGGCCCAGGCCCAGACAGGCTTAGGTGGAAGGAAGGACGGTATTATTGATTGTAACTTAACTAGAGAGGTCCAGGGTTCAGCACCTCGGACAGCAGAGGGTAGGGGGCTTCTGCCATTTTGATTGTGGGGTGCCAAAGAAGGAGCCATAGGGGTGGGAGGAGAGGGAACCCCAGGTGCGATGGGTAGGCAAGGGTCTGCCTGTCCTGACATTCCCCCCACATTGGAGCGGGAAATACCTTTGCACTCCTTTGCGAGTCTTGTTAATTGATTCCTTTTTATTCATTGTTTTGTATTTTCACCAATGATACACTCTCATTTAATATTTAAATAGTAACAGCCAGCCTTTAGTAGGCTTTTCCTAAGTTCTTTTTTTTTTTTTTAAAGATTTTATTTATTTATTTGAGAGAGAGAGAATGAGAGACAGAGAGCATGAGAGGGAGGAGGGTCAGAGGGAGAAGCAGACTCGCTGCCAAGCAGGGAGCCCGATGTGGGACTCGATCCCGGGACTCCAGGATCATGACCTGAGCTGAAGGCAGTCACTTAACCAACTGAGCCACCCAGGCGCCCGCTTTTCCTAAGTTCTAACACGTTTATATTTATTAACTCAGTTAATCCTCATAGCACTCCTATAAGGCAGCTCCAATTGTGTTCTCCATTTTACAGATGGGGAAACTAAGGCAGAGAGAAGTCAGTAACTCACCCAAAGTCACATAACTAGTAAGGGGCGGTGCTGGCATTTGAACACAGGCTCTGTGTTCTTTACCATATTTTCTAGAGGCAAGTAGCAGCAGTATTCCTTGGTTACTGTTATCCCCAATCTGGTTCTGCCCCAGAGGTCACCACTGTTTCTGGCGGCTTTGCTCCAGCCACACCTTCTTGCCCACCACTTAAACACATTTACACGCACATAAAAATTGGTAATTTGGTTTTGTGTGTGTGCACGTAAATGGGATCACAGTCTGCACTGTTCCACGGTTTGCCTTGAGGATCTCCCTGGGGTGGTAGCGCAGACCTTCCTCTACCTTTTCTACTGCTGCAGAATATTCCAGTCTGCAGATGTACCACCGTTTGCTTTACCTGCCTCTGATGGGCATTTAAGTTGTATACACATCGAAGCGGAAAACATCTAGCAGGGGATTGTCTTGTACCTGCCTCTCTGCACATTGCAAGCAAGCATTCTCTTGAATACTTGAGAGTGGCATTCCTGGGTCTGAAATGGATCCTGCCAAGTTGCCCTCCAAAAAGGCCGTATCAGTTAACAGTGCTGGCAGCGTTGTCGGGGAGCGACCATTTCGCTGCACCTTCACCAGCACCGGGTATTATCGGTCACGTCCGATTTCTGACGTTGTGCCTGGTGCATAACCTGTCTTGCGGTGACGAGTTTAAGTAGTCGTTTGCTCACCTGCCTGCTCACTCCTTTGTCGCCCACCCCACCGTGTCTTTCAGCCTGGCCGCCCCACCTCGGTCTCCGCCATGAACGGACCCACCCTGCAGCCCTCCTCGGCCTCCTCCGCGTCCTCCCCGTCCCCGTCGGCAGCGTCGTCGCCGTCCCCGCGGGGCTGGAGCGAATTCTGCGAGCTGCACGCTGTGGCCGCGGCCCGGGAGCTGGCCCGGCAGTACTGGGTCTTCGCGCGCGAGCACCCGCACCACGCGCCGCTGCGCGCCGAGCTCGTGTCGCTGCAGTTCACCGACCTCTTCCAGCGCTACTTCTGCCGCGAGGTGCGCGAGGGCTGGGCGCCCGGGCCGCCGGGGTCCCGGGCCGCGCCGCCCGCTCGCGACTACCGGGACACGGGCCGCGGGCCCCCGGCCAAAGCCGAGGCGGCCCCGGCCGAGTCGGGCCCGGGTCCCGCCGCCCCCGCGCTGCCCAAGGCCCGCAGCTCGGAGGAGCTGGCCCCGCCGCGGCCGTCCGCCGCCTGCACCTTCCAGCACCTGCGCCACAGCCTCCGCCACATCCTGCGCCGCGGCTCCGCCGGGGAGCTGCCCGCCGCCCCCGGGGCCGCGGGGGAGGCGGGCGAGGGCCCGGCCCGGGCCGGCCTGGCCAGGAAGCTCCTGCCCTGGAGCCTGGCGCGTGAGCCGCCGCCCGAGGCCCTCAAGGAGGCGGCGCTGCGCTACAGCCTGGCGGACGAGGCGTCCATGGACAGCGGGGCGCGCTGGCAGCGGGGGCGGCTGGCGCTGCGGCGCGCCCGGGGCCCCGACGGCGGCGCGGACCGCGTGCTGGAGCTCTTCGACCCGCCCAAGGTAAGCTCCCCGCGCGACAGCCCTGCGGGCGGCCGCACAGCACCCGGAGGAAAGCGTGCCTTTTAAAAAGTGAAGAGTTTCTTTTAGGCCATTTAGGTTTGCGGAGAGGTTGCCGAGATGGCCCAGGGGTCCCTCGCACGCCACACGCAGCCTTGCCATGTGAGCATCTTTCGTTACTGCGTGCATTGGCATAACCCAGGCACCAGCGCTGGCCACGAGTGTTAAGGACACTCCGCGTGGTCTTTGGATTTTGCTGGTTTCCCCTAATACTGCTTTTCTGTTCCAGCATGTACCATATTAGATTCGGCTGTCATGTCTCTTTAGGGGCTTAATGGCTTTGACAGGTTCTCAGGCTTTCCTTGTTTCCCATGACAGTTTTGAGGAGTACCCGCCAGGGATTGTGTAGAAAGTCCAGAGACACCGTATATGGGCATCATGTGGGCTGTGACAGGGCGGTCCAGGTCCTTGACAACCCTGACCCAGATGGACCACGACAAATAGGGGTCATGGGTTTTTCTAGAGGGTTCAAAACTGTCATTTTGATTCCTTTGCATGTCTCATGATTTGTGGATGTCCATTTTCAAGTGTTAAAAATTCTGTGTGTTCCTTTTTTGACAACTTAATTCAGCTCTGCAGATGAGGCTGGAGGGTCAAGGTGTTCCAAACACCTGACAAGCTCTATCTTTGACTCAGGTGTATCAAGTTGCTGGGACCGTGTGGCTTTCATTTAATTCCTTTCTCGTTCTGTTATGCTGCTAGAGAGTGAGCAAAGCAGATGTGATCCTGGCCCGGGGAGGGTCACAGTCTGAATGGAAGAGACTTAGTTATTCATTCACTTAACAGATATTTATTGAGCACCTACAGTGTCCAGATAGATGCTGATGCTGGGGACCTGGCATCTTAGTGGGAGCTACTGAGGAATAAACCTACAACTGAACATGGAATTATAAATTCTACACGCTGTTCTAAAGGAAGAGCAATGGGGCTTCTGGGAGTATCACTGAGGGGCCCCAATTTGGTGGTTGGGATAGGGTGTTGCCAAAGAATCCTCTTGTGTGAAGTAACCTTTAAACTTCAGCACCGTGTCCCACGCATACACAGCAGTGGGTGTGTGATTCGGAAGCGTCACAAGTATTGCTATGTTTGCACACGCCCAAGTGACCCAGCACCCAGGGGGCTCCCTCCCGCCTCCTCCATGTCAGTAGCCCCAGCCACCCCCTCCTCCCACTGACTCCTACTCCACGGATTACGTTTCTCTGTTCTTGAACTTCATACAAATGGAATCACGCAGCATGTTGCTTTTGCTCAGCAGAATGTCGTAGGGACTTGTTCATGCTCTCATGTGCATCAGTAGCTGGTTTGTATGGATGGACCGCAAGTAGCGTATCCATCCGCCTGTTGATGGATATTTGGATTGTTTCTACTTTGGGACTCTTATGAATAATGCTGTTATGAAATTTGGGTATAGTTCTTTGTGTGGACATGTGCGTCCATTTGTCTCAGGGAGATTCCTAGAGGCCTTGCTAGGTCATATGGTAAGTGCATATTTATAAGAACCTTCTATATTTTTTCCAAAGTGGCTGCATGATCTTATGTCCCCACCAGCAGTGTATGAGAGTCTTTTTCCATTTCACCCCTGCTAGTGGATGTGTACTGGTTTCTCACTGCGGCTTTAATTTGCATTTCCCTGATGACTCATGAGGTAAAGCACCTTTTCATTTGTTTATTGGCCACTGGAATTAACGCTTTTGTGATGTGCTTGTTATTTTTATTGAGTTTTCTGTTCTTATAGGAGTTTTTATATATGCTGGATTGTAAATATCATCTCCAACTCCGTGGGTTGCCTTTTTTCTTCTTTAATGGAATCTTTTCATGAACAGAAGTTCTTAATTTTAAGTCCAGGTTATCAGTTGCTTTCCTTTATAGTTACTGCTTTTTGTGTCCAGTTTAAGAAAACTTTGCCTACCCAGTTTCATGAAGATCTTTCTTGTCTTTTCTTCTGGAAGCTTTATTTTTGGGCCTTCACATTTTGGACCAAGATCCATCTCGAATTAGTTTTTATGTATGGTGTGAGGTAGGGGTCATAATTCTTCCAGTTGTTCCAGCACGATTTGCTGATGTGACCATTTCTTCTCTATCAGATTGCAATGCTGCTTTTATCCTAAATCCAGTGTCCACTGGTGTGCTTCTGGAAGACTCTCCCTTCTGTCCCCTTGGCCCATGTGTCTGTCCTTAGGCCAACACCACACTGTGCTAATTGCCAAAGTTTCATAGTGAGCCTTGAGCTGGTGACTTTTGGACCACAGTCTTAATCCTGAGTGAAGAATCTCTCAGTGTCAGGGTGCCTGGCTGACTCAGTCGGTAGAGCATGTGACTCTTGATCTCGGGGTTGTGAGTTCAAGCCCCACTTTGGGTGCAGAGGTGACTTAAAAATTAAATCTTCAAAACAAAAAAAGAATCTCTCAGTGTTTTAGGCAGAGGGAACAGCACAGGCAAAGGTCCTGAGATGGGCATTCTGTGTGTTTTGAAGAATATAGCAGAAGAGGCTGGGGTGGTGGGAGCACAGAGAGGGAAGATGGAGCATGGGGAGTATGTGTGGTTAGAGGGTCCTGTGAAGAGTTAGCATTTTATTCCAAACACAACGGGAAGCTGTTGGAAAATGCAAGTGCAGATAAAAACTGTTTTCTCATCATTTTTAAAGTCTTGAGGTTATGACACCATGAAAGGCAAATAACATTCCAAACACATGGTCTTATCTGTGTGACAGCATGGGGTCCCTATAAAACTTCACTTTAAAAACAGCTTCTGGGGTGCCTGGCTGGCTCAGTCAGAGGAGCGTGCGACGCTTGACCCTCAGGGCCGTGAGTTTGAGCCCCATGCTGGGGGTAGAGATTACTAAGTAAATACTTAAAAAATACAAATAAAAAATAAGTTAAAAAAAAAACTTCTGCTTTTAAAATAAACCATCTTGGAAAACCAGGTGTCAGGAGTCAAGTGGACCTGAGTTTAAATAATGAATTAGTATTTTCCCCAGTTCTGGGGCCGTAGGCAAGGGACATCACCTCTCTGAGCCTCAGCGTCCTCCTCTGTACAAGGGGGCTTGTACAGAGTTCTCGCCTTCTGGCGCTGTTGCGCTAACTGGGATAGCCCCTGGCCCGGGGAGCGCTCGGTGTTACTGCTCCTTGTTGTCACGGTAATGACTTTGGGGTCGAGAACACGGATTTATTCGCAGTGCTGGTCTGGGTCCTCAGTGCCCAACTGGGAGGCACCGCCAGGGCTCCTGTTCTTCAGGAGCCCCAATGGTGGGGCCCCCGTTGGAGCCCTGAGGACTCAGAAGTGGTGTTTTGGCCCCTGTGAAGTCGAGGCCTGGGGGAGGGCAGCTGGGACCCTGGGGCTCTGTCCTAGGCTTGGTGGTTGCTCCAAGACCTGGGGTGTCCTCCCACAGAGTGAGCAGCCTGGTAGGGCCTCTCCCAGCCCCCCCCCAAGTATGGCTGGGCAGAGCAGCCCAGCTCCACCAGCCTCCAGCAGCTCCCCATTGTGTCTGGAACAGTCTAGGGGCTGTTCCTGAATGTTTCCTGGAATGACCTGGAGCATCCAGTCTCCGGGCTGAGGATACTGAGACTATAAGTCTTGATTGAGTGTGCCTGCCAGGTGGGCAGTCTGGACCTCTGGCCCTGGAGTTGTTTAGAGGAGCAGCTTTACACAGAAGGCAAAGGAAGGTTGCAGGTTCGACAACCAGTAGGTGGTGGGTAAAGGCCTGAGCTCTGGATTCACACCCACGCTATGGCACTTGAAACCTGGAGAAGGTCCTGCTGCCCAGAGTAGGCAGAGGTTTGGAGACAAGAGCTGAGACAGGGAAGCTGCCCAGAGACATGTTCCTTGGGCCTCAGCCAAGCAAATGCCATCCAGAAACTGAGGCCAGGGAGCCAGGGGCTCATGGGTCCCCAAGACTCACCTCTGCCTCTGACCAGCTATATGACCCTGGCTGGTCTTCCCCACTCGGCCTCATTCTGTTCATCTGCAAGCAGGGGTGAAAGCAGCCACTCAAGCTCATGATGAGGGCTATAAGGGGAGTCCTTGCTAATGGGGGTGTAAGTGAAGGCTAGAGCCAGGCTGCTGGCTGGGGAGCTGGAGGGTGGTCAGAGGAGACACCTGGGGCTATTTCCAGTGTCCGAAGATGGGTGGTCATGGCCTTCTCTGCTTTCAGTGGCATCCCTGCAGGTGGGCAAGAGATGGGCCTCCCTTCTGGGTGCTGGCCTTCAGGAGGAGGCTGGGCATTGGGGGGTGGTCCTCAAAGGCCCCTTGGCAGGAAGTGATGTCTGAGATGAGAAAAGGTGCCAATCCTGAAAGATCTGGGTAAAGGAGTCCCAGGTCAATGAAATGGCAAGTGCAAAGGCCCTGGGGTGGCCATGAACCAGGAGACTTTGAGGAATAAACAAGTGGCCAGGGGCTGGATGGAGGGAACAAGCAGAGAGAAGATTGGAAAGGTGCTAGGGCTGGATTAGGTGGGGGCCTTGTGGCCCCAGGGAGGACTTGGGGTTCTCACAGTATGAGTAGTGGCATGATTCTTCTCCTACGAGACCCTTTGGTCTCTGTCTCCACTCGTCCGGTGGCAACTCCCCCTCCTCAGACATGTCTGAGTCCCAGAGTTGGGCTAGAATGGGGGACGGCATATTTACTAGCTTGAATGGGCACCTACTGTGCGCCAGCCATTGCCCTACACACTTGACCTAAAGTCCTTACCCATGAGGTTCGAGGCCACTGGCCCATTTGACAGGGAAGAAACTGAGGCTGGGAGAGGCAAACGGACTCACTCAGGGTCATGCACCCGAGGAGATTGGAACCCCAGTTGCAAGGGGTTCCCACCTCCAAGCCCCTGGCCACACTCTTCGACTGGCTCCCTCGAGCCCAGGCCTGCAGAGTGTCAGCACCCAGCCAGGCCAGGCCGGAGATGTGCCATCCTACTCGGCAGTTAAAAAAAGAAAAAGTTGGATTGGTTA